GTTCATTTTTGAAATTCAGGCAGTTGAGTGAAATTCAACTAAACTTCCCACAAATCAAATTTGAGTAATAAAGCCTTTGGTTTGGAAATAATAAATAAACCTAATAAAGCCTTTGGTTAAACAAGACACTAAAAAATATGACTTGGTTTTCTCAACTAGTATAAAAAAACATTGAATTTCTGCAATTGTTTTTAGAAGAAACTGAATATTAGAAAGAAGACATTAAAGTACAAGTGCTTTATAACACTTCAAAACTGTATCAATCAACCATTGTGTTAATCTCAGTAACCTAGATAAAACTCAGATAGTCTAGCAAAGAAACAGCGATAACCAAGTTAAAATAATTTGAAATGCAATTTTTAGGCTTGTTTAGAGGTGTTGATTAATAATATTTCAAACTATAGAGACAAAATCTTTTAATGCTTGAATAAGATTTAAACTATAAAAATTATCATTATTACTTGCTTGCAAAATTATGCAATTAAAAAAGTTATACTAAAAACATGTCTTGTTATACACAGTGCAACAATAAAACCAAAATTTGTTATAAATTCAGAAGAAGAAGCAGTAGCAGAGGCTGCACCATTAATGACATTCTTTGAGACAGAAAACCACAGGTATAAAAAACTTTCGTATAGTATCCATGCCACAATTTCACATTTCATAACACCCAAAGAAAAATCAGTAAGGCCGAGTCTATTCGCACGACCGTCGTGCAAATAACGAAAATAAGCTTATTCGCACGACCGTCGTGCAAATAACGAAAATAAGCTTATTCGCACGACCGTCGTGCAAATAACGAAAATAAACTTATTTGCACGACCGTCGTGCAAATAACAAAAATAAGCTTATTCACACAACCATGTAAAACAATAAAAACGGCTTTTAGCACGACTATTATATGCGTGTATATGTATATTACATGTATACATTTACAAATTAATTGAAATCAAAAGAACAACAACAACAATTCACGGTATAAAATTTGTTTAAAAATGCACATCCTATTTGTTTAAAATGCAAATCTGACGGAAAAAAGCAGGCAAGGATCCCTATTTTCTTACAAAATTTGCAATTATAGCTACGCCAGCTAATATCTAAGTCCACCAATTTTTTAGCGATGGTGGTGTCTAATATGGCAGTTAATAGAGAATTCCAGTTTTTTTACTACAGCATTTGTAAACAAGTTATGTCTTTTATCATGTTTCAAAAAAATTTCGGCTTCTTATTCAAATTATTCGGCTTGTTCTAAGACTTTACTTAGATCCTCAATAAACTGGTTCGATTTATGACGTTACAAAATTGATTCAATCAATTCTATTAATTGTTTTGTACTAATTGTATAAGTTCACTACGCTGTTTAAGGTCACTACGCACACGGCGAATTTGAAGGGTAACCGTGTTAAAGGTGAAAGTGAAGGGTATTTTGAACTAAGACTTGTTAAACGTTTGTCGTATATTAGGTGATTAGTGTCTCAACCCAATTTTGCGGTTCGATACTGAATTCTTTTAACTGTATTTATACATTCTCTGCAATGATAAGTCTAGACAAGTATAGTCACTAATATGTTAAGGCGTGATATATATAGTATATATTACGCCGTAAACTCCAAATAGAAAGTTCAAAATAGATTATATTTTCTGTTGTACATTTTGACTTAGTTAATATTAAATTTTAACTTCTATACGCTTATATTTGATCTATTTTTATATAATAGCAATTACTGTGTATACTGTGCAACTAATTACTGTGTATACTATGCAACTAATTACTGTGTATACTGTGCAACTAATTACTGTGTATATTGTGCAACTAATTGTTTTTTAACTCTAAGTTTGTAATGCTTTTTTTTTTACATGGGTCAAGGCAATAGGTACCGCTTGCTGGTTTTATATTCTATAAACCTATAACACTTAGAGAAAGAGTTATTCAAATAAAGTTGAAATAATGGTTCTGACTGAAGTTTTGACCCAAGAATAGGGTCTTGTAATCCTTTTACATCTGGAAACTGCATGGATAAAAGCTTTTGTGCTTTGTTTATGTTAAAATAATGGTTGAATAGTACTCAGACATCCAGTTTTGGCCAGTTTTCCTAATACAAATCAACTTTTGGCTAGAGTAGTTTTCAAACTTCTAAAATAAAATATCTCTTTATAAACTCATTCAGATTTCAAGAAATGTATAACACGCGCAGCTGCAGAGAAAACACAAGAAAAATGTGTAATAATTATATTCTGGTTAGCAAAACTTTTTTTAAATATCATTTTCATCATCGCCTCGGATATGACTATCTTCACCAACTTGAAACAGAAGAGAAACTTGGTTAAACTTATATAATACCGTTTATACTGATTAGCTTTGATATCTCGACATACTAAAACATAAAAATTTAGTTTGCACACCCATTTCAAATTCTTTTAAAATGAATGTAAGAAAAGGAAATAAAAAATAATTTTTTATTTACTTTACCTATTGATGCCTTATATATTTTACATCTATCGACTATTGTTCCTTTACGTTTATTTACCATAAGATGCTTAAACCCTAAGCACCTTAGGGTAAAAAAACGTAAAGGAACAATAATATTGGTATTGTAAAACATATAAGGTATCGATAGGTAAAGTAAAAAAAATAATTTATTTTTATTTCATACAGGGAGTTTTGGAGGGAAATAAAAGGAAGTGGGAATTTTATCCCAGATCTAATTAACGGGGTGTGGACAGGCGTAATAAAAGGGTTAATGGGAAAAGTTTTTATTTTTTATCGGTTATTAATATATATTTTTTTGAACTTTTTTAAAGTTTTGAGATGTAACGTTTTTATTGTTAACAAGTATATCAATAAACGGTGGTAGGGGGTCTTAATACGCTAAGGATAGATGGCAAAATTTTCAAAAATTAACAACTACTCGCTCCTTAAATAAAATACCTTAGTTAGCTGCATGAATTACTATGCCAATGTAAAGAGTTGTCAGAATTATCAAATATATTCTTTGGAATGGAAAGGCATGAAACGTGAAACCACTCCTTACAATTGTTGCATTTAACCATTTTTTCTTCTTTATTATCAGGAAGACGACATATGCAATATAGTGGTACATTAATTGGTTTAGGTAGTTTTTTCTTTTTTCGTTCATTAGTCTCTATAGGGAATGGCGTTAAGTAATTGTCACTGAAGCATTTTAACAAATGATCTCGCATAAGTTCTTGCTTATAGCATTTTATGCTTGGATCATAATTGTAACATAAATCTGTTGCCGCTGCAATTGCAAAAAGACCACAATCAAGCCCACCAGATTGTTTTTGGAAATCTTTGAACTGTAATTTCAAAAAAGGTTCTTTAACCATCATAATTGATCCTACTTGCATCTTTCCACTAACACTTAAGTCATAATATAAGGAACCAAAAACATCAACTGAGTTAAGATGGGTACTTAAAAAATTTGAAATGGTAAGCCAATGCATTGCACCATTATGTAAAATTTGAACAAACTTTCCAGATTGCACTCTAAAATGAAGTTTTGACCCAAGAATAGGGTCTTGTAATCCTTTTACATCTGGAAACTGCATGGATAAAAGTTTTTGTGCTTTGTTTATGTGCAAATCAGATAACATCTTGAATGAGTCCTTAATGGAGAATAGTTGAAGATCTATGACAGAGTGTTGCTTTTTTAATAACTGTTCCTTATGAGCAGTTTTGCCTAAAATTCGCTGACACAATTGATGGTAAGGATCATTATACAAACCCCGCTTCCTTTTGAGCCTTGCTTTTTTAATTTTGACATTTCCTACAACTGGAGGGACTTTAGGTAAGCATACATTTGCTAAATTATTAAAAATGTTTATTGCTTGGCCGGTGCAGCATTCAGATTTAGTTGTAGGAAGATCTTTAAAGTTTACGCTGTCATTTAGAGAAGATTGATTTGGAGATAAAACGCTTCCTTGATTTTGAAGTTGTTCATTTAAATTTAGACTAGATGGTAAAGCTGAGAACAAAGATTCAGAAAAGTTTGGAGAACTGGACATCTCTGGCAAATCAGACATTTCGGGCAACTCTGACGTTTCTAGAAAATCTGACATTTCAGGCAAATCTGAGATTTCAGGCAAAGCAGACACTTTGGGCAAATTAGAGATTTCAGGCAATGCTTGCGCTTCCATATCAGAAATTATAACTTTTTTCCCAGCTAACCACAATTTATAAATTAAATTTAAGGAATCAATTTTTTCTTCAAACTCGTTCATTCCGAGAGTGGATAAATAATCCGAAATTGGTTTACATAGATTCATGGCAGTTTTAAATTTCTGATCTTTAGAAAATGGCACTTTTAGTGTCTTTTTTTCGGTTTCATTAGTTGAAAAATGAAAAACATTGTTAGCCTGATTATGCAAACTTCTGGTCTTACAAGAAAGCCAACTTTTTTTTTTGATAGCTTAAATGCCATCGCTCTCCTGCATCATCTGCTTTAAAAATAGCATCACCGTTTACTATTTTCACTGCCATTGTATGTCGACAAGGAAGTTTCATAGTAACCTGCAAAGGACACGAACATACTTTATTTAACACTAACAAATCTGTGCGAGACTTTTTTAATTCTGCAATTACAATTCCAGCAGCATATGGAGTTAGAACTTTTACAATATCATCTGTAACTACATCTTCATCAGTACCTAATCTATATGGCTCTTTAAAAGATTGATTAAACTCAATATGAGCCATTTGTTCAAATTTACAAGTATGTAACAAAAGGATACCTTTTACTGCCTCTGCTAAAGACATTTTCCTAGACAATATGTTTTTAATTTTTTGGTTATGGGACTCGGACCTGTTATTTGTTGTATTACCAAGATTAACATACTTGATAGTTTCATAGTATGCCCAATACTTAACTTGTTGTGGCAAGCCCCAATTTTTGTTATAGTATGCTATAGTAGCAAGATGTTCCAAATTTGTATCAATCAATATCTTTGGTTTTGCATATTTTTATTAGTATTTGCAATACTTAACTTGGCAAGCCCAAATTTTTGTTGTAGTATGCCATTACAACTTCTGGTGCAACTTTAGCAAGATGACCCAAATTTATATCAAACGATTTCTTTGATTTTGCATACACAAGCGATTTAAATATTTTTTTTAGATTATCTTTTTCTATACTAGCTAAACCTTGTTTATTTAAAAATCTATAAAATGCTTGCAAAACATGAAACTTACATAGTTGGATTTCTGCTGTAGGCATAACCTTGGAAACTGCACCTATTTCTTTCAGGTCCTTGTTAAGAATGACAACCTTTACTTGGTTAAGATTCAGTATAAGTTCAATTTCTGAAAACACATCATGCAGAGTGTTTTCAGTTTCTTGTGCAATGAAAGCATAACCAACAGCCTGACCTGTTCCATTTCCATCCTCAACTAACAGAGTGAATAAAGGCATTCTTAATTTGTTTGTGCAATATGTGCAGTCAATCATTAGCACTTCAGGAAACATATCAAACACCTGCTGCATATCTCCACTTATTAGTAAAAGAAACTGCAGAACACCGTCTGAATCAACTTGAACAGATATAACTGCATCAGGATCTTTTTCACCTGAAATTAAAAATCAAACTTTAACTAAAACTTTTAGATAGTATATAAATAAAATAAATTGATTAATAAAGTGTATTATTTAAACTATGAACTATAACCCATTTAACTCAAAGTACAATAAACCTCTGAATAAATCTCTGAATACATTTAGGTTAAAACTATCAGGCATTTTCTGCCTCTATATATATACTCTAAATCATAAATCCTGTAAAATACAAAAATTGAAAAAGAAAAGTTAGAGCAGAAGGCTTACAGAAGGACATGAGTTCATCGATCAATAAAGCCTCATTTGATTTTTCACTATTGCGTTTTAGTTCAATTTTTTTATTTATGTTGAATAAATCTTTCGATGTTACTATTTTTCTTTCTTTATTTTTTAAATATTCTTTTAAAAAACAGACTTTAACACCAAGTTTAAACATTGTGCCAATATCATCTTTAACTATTTCACTTAACCGGCGTTGTTCAGGGTAATGCATAAAAGCAGTTCTATGAAGGCATAAAAATAAATACAGATAAAATAGAATTTAAAAATAAAAATTACAATAAAAAATACAAATTAACTCAAAAAAGTAAAAAAAGTACAATTTTTTTGCAAAATAAACTAATAATAAAATATAGTTGTACTAACCTGCTGACTTCATGGTTATGGTTAGCCTGAAGTTGCTGTACTACTAGTTTTGTTTTATCTTTATTAATACTAATATAAAGTTTGGCACTACATCCAATTTTGAAAGAGCTAAAAAAAAAAGTAGTGAAAATCTTCACTTTCTGAAAATTATTGAGTTCTATCAGTGGGTAGTGAACATTATAATGTAAACTACCCACAGAGAATTGCATGTTGTAGTTGATATGAGATCTTATTCAAGCTCGAACCCCAGCTTCCACAAGCCAGCCAAAAACAAGCAAAAAATAATTAAAATGAAATTTAGCATATACAAATAAAATATTAGATTTCTTATCTTTTAGAAAAGCTTTTAGATAAAAAGAAATTAGATAAACAAAATATTTAAAACCTTTGATTTGGGCGAATTCCTTTCCTTTTTGTTCTCTTAACTCTTCCATGCTTGCATAAATATGTTACATTTCTAAATTTAAACTTCTCATCAAAATGTTTTGAATTCTGATTCAAACCTTTATTAGCCAATGTAACTATAGGAGATGGCTAATGTAATTAGCCATCTCCTTGTTTAATTTGAATATTCATGACTAATTTGATAAGATAAAACTAAAAATATAATTTAGGTTTATTATGCAATCATATTTATAGCAAAAATAAATTAAATAAATCAGTTTATTCCAAACAAACTTCCTGATTGAATTCTACCTTTTTGAATAGCACATGCGTATTTTATTTATAGTTTATATATAACCGTGGTCGTGCAAATAAGCTTTATTTCGTTATTTGCACGACGGTCGTGCGAATAAGCTTATTTTCGTTATTTGCACGACGGTCGTGCGAATAAGTTTACTTTTCTTATTTGCACGACGGTCGTGCGAATAGACACTTCGAATCAGAAATAGCTTTTATGAAAATACTAAGTAAACAAGTTTTTTCTTTAATGTGGTTCATCATAGTTCCTATTACGATTATCATGAATCTCATAAAGGATAAACATTATGGCTAATTAAAATTATACTTAATAAGTCTAAAATCTTCTTCTTGATTATAAAAGAAAACCAAGGAACAAATACTAGTTTTTATCGATGCAACTATAAACAGCTTCTACTTGTAATAACTCTCTGTCTTTCTTTCTTGTATCCAAAGGATATCGTGATATCAAAAGTTCTACACAATTAAAGTAATATTCGGTCGCCTAACTTTAAAGGAAATGATGCTTTTCTTTAACATACTAACTTTATCTTTAAAATGCTATATAAACTCGTGGATTAAGCGACATTTTGAACTAATCATCGGCCTTGTTATATGTTTAATAAAATTAATTAATTTAATAAAACACAAATTTAGCAGGGTGTAGGTCAAAGGGGAAGTCCGAAATTTATTTTCCACATTTCAAACCTTTTTTCTCCTTATTTATTACTTAAAATGCAAATTATTAAAATGATACACAGCCTAGTGTAATAAAACTGGGGATGTCTATTGATATATTTTGATATATACTAGTTGTTACTAACTAATTTTACCACCTGGTGATAGTTAAACTATAAAACTTAATAAAAATTTTACTCAGGGTGTATGTCAAAAGGGAAGTCCAAAGTTTGTTTCAACTGAAATAATCATTTTGATTTTTTTTAAACCAATGAAAAAAAAAATTCAAAAAATAGAGTTCTGTATAACAAAATAAAATAAGGTATGTCAAATTCAAGTTTCTAATTAAGTTATTTAACTCAAAAGTTAGTTTAACCTCCATCAAAATATTGTAATTATTATTTTTTAACAATCGAAACCGGTATACTATTTTCCTGTTTTTAATATTTCGGAACTTGAATCGTTTTCCGGTTTTTAATTTTTTTCCAGCCGTTCAAGATAATTAACCGTGCATAATTTGTTTAGTTTTGGTTTTAATAGTTATATATAGTAAGACTTTTTTTAACAATATAATCAAGTTGAAAAACTTTTATTTAATTTTTTCGGGTACGTCCAACGACGTAGCGGACATCCCCTAGACACGCCCCTGCTGCCCCACAATTCCTACCTTAACATGTTGGTCTAGTCAAAATTTGACTAGACCAACATGTTAACGTTTCGGAATACCCTATTCTATAATTGCATTTTTTCTAAAAATAAGTAAACTAGTAATTAAATTTTACGATTACTCGGAACCCTTGTACCTGGGGGTCCTTGATAGTGTGAAGACGTAATAGTACCTTGTACCTGGAGGTCCTTGATAGTGTGAGGACATAATATTTTGAACATTTAAGTATATTACAATAAACTGTTAAAACGGACGCTTTAAAAAGTCTATAACAATAAGTTCTTTAAAACAAGATTTTATGAGTTTTTGTTTATCTTATGCTAATAAAAAAAATTTATGAACATTTACATTTTATTTTTAAAATTATTTTTTATTTTGTTTTAAATTAAAACAAAAAAAGATGTAAACGTTAAACACTTTATCTATAATTAAATCTATAATTAATTAATACTTAAATAATCTAAACCAGTGAAATTTTTATCCTCGGTAGTATAGTGGTAAGTATCCCCGCCTGTCACGCGGGAGACCGGGGTTCGATTCCCCGCCGGGGAGTATTCTTTTACAATACTTAAAAAATTAGTTAATCAGTTGCAACAATTTAGTCTTAACTTATTATTAAATAAGTTTTGTAGTTTTAGTTAGTGTCTATATCTACATCTACTGTTACAAACTGAAAGTACTTTACTGATAAATGCAACATAAATGACAAATCATCCATTTCTACTATTGGTAATATCTGTTTTATGTAAACTTAATAACAAATTTATGATTTCCTCTCATTAAAATACTGTCTCTGATTCTTTCATTCAAAATTCTTTTTTTTAAATATGTACCTTTAAATTAGGATGATGTAAAAATTTTACAAAAAAAACTTCTATCCAATAAGTTTTAAAATAGAGTCTAGTTCATATTAATTATCGAGTAAATCTTGTAGTGAATACGACATCGCATACATTCTTTCAAATGCTTCTAGAAGCCCAGTGTCACCGAGAGGGGGGGGGGGGGGAGGGGTCGCGAGGGACAGTTTGTTCCAGGCGGCAAATATCCAAGGGGCGCCAAATGAAATGCAGGTACCTAAAAAAAAAAAAAACGGCCCTTCATATATAATATAGGGAAAATTTGATAAATAAGGCGCTAATCAGATTTGCTGCCCCAGGCGGCGTGACAGCTCTCGGCGACCCTGTAGAAACCTAGAACAATTTACAAATCAAAAACTTAATTGAAAGTATTTTTGAATCTGATGAACTTTATTTTTTTTCCAAAAATGAATGAGTAAACTTGTTATTGAGCATAAGGGCAAGTTGGGCAATTAAAATATCTCAAAATCTACGCATCACATGATAAAACATCTAATGGATGAAAGTTAGGAAATTAGTTAACACTATGGGCAACAAAATATTGTTGAAAAGCAGTTGAGTAAGATTCACGGGCACTTTTCTATTTTAGACCAAAAAAGTAAATAAAAACGTTTTGCTATTTTTCTCTTAGATGCTTATAAACTTTTTTTTATCTGACATCACTTTTGTGTTGATATTTTAACAATTTATTGGACGATTAAAATTACCCGTTTATTTCATAACTCTTACTGTATAACTAATGTATCCCCTTGTGATACATTAGTTAGGTTCTGAAGTTATCTTTATTAGTTATTATTTTTAGAGTTTTCTCTATAAAACCTAACTATTGTAGTCACCTTGTCTAGTAGGGGTAAGTTGAGCAGTTTTGAAAAAAATAAATAAAACTTAACTTTTGAAACAACTTTGAAAAAAAAATAAGGTTTATATATACATTATTTATATATAGCGCATTCTTTTATAGCGCACTTGTCTCAGAAACATAAGATCCTTGGTTCAAACCCCACCTCTGGGCAAGCTTTGCGACATCGGTTGGGAAGGAGGCGTGAACTTCCTACTAAATGCTCTTCCGCGGTACTCTGTGATAAGACCGTATAGACTTCTTGGGGCACCTTAATCAACTTAAAAAAATATATATATATATTTTTAAAATTAGTATTTTTTTATCGGGCTTCAAAGTTTAAGATAGTTGTATAAAGTTATATATTTATATATTTTATGACGCTTTCTTTCTATTTAACTTTTTCGCTTCTCTTACTTACGTCATTAAATTGTATAAATTATACACACGGTTGAGCAGCTCCGTAAACTTTAGGCAATATCTTCTCAAAAAACTTTTCTAAACAAATTTTTAACAGATTAAATAATCTTTCAAATAGTGAACAACTTATGTTAATCTAACGCACCGTTCATGAAGTCTGTTAGATTTAGTAAAAATTGTTCAACTAGCCTCGCTCTACCCTACCTTCTGATTCAGAAGGTTTTGAGATTTAATAGATTTTGAACAATTTAACCAAATATGCTCCATCTTCAGAAGTTCTGAAGATGGAGCATATTTGGTTAAATTCTATTAAAACTTGTTTTCTTAACGTGAATATCACTGGCCTGATGCTGTAAATGATTTTAATAGGCATTATTGTGGAAAAAAAAGATTGACGAACATCTTTACTGTACAGAGGTTTTGTTATAACACCTGGACCATGTTTTTAACAGTTTTAAATTGTGTAATGTGATTCTGAAAATTTTACAATTTTACAGAAATTTTCAAAATATTGATACTTTAATTAATCAAGAATATGAAAAAAAAGTTATAAATTAGGTGAATATGAATATGAATAAGAATATGAAAAAAAAGTTATAAATTATAACTAGGTGATTTGATACAATTCTTTGTCTTGCTTCTAAAGTTGAGTTGCAGAAGTTAAGCTAAGAGCATCGAGTTATCAAATAAATAGAACTAATGTTTCTTCTTGTTCAACTTTAAAATATTTAAAGAAATTGTTAACCATACCAGTTATTGATTGTCTTCTAACTGAAGTTAATAAACAGATTTAGTGGCGATGCTTGATTATTATTCTTAAAAAAAAAATTTGTTTCGAAACAAATTCGCGAAAAAATGAAATTCCAGTAATTTGGTTACTTTTATGCAACAGATTTGCCATGTGCAATTTCTTTAAGTGCAGAACATAATTGTGGGAGAGTTGTTGGGTTCAAAAAAAAGTTTGCATACCTGATAATGTTTTAAGATAATATTTCAAGTACTTTCTTTGACTTTGAACTAGCACCAATTAGGGTTGACTAACTATAATTATTAAAAACTAAGAATAAGTAAGAATATCATATTATAATTAGTAATCTAGCATACTACTCCAGCATATCAGTTTAACTTTATTTTATATGATGTTATTATTATATATTTTTTCTTTTAGATTTTGTAAACTATGAAATAAAATAAATTAAAATTATGAAAGTAAAATTATTTTAATCAGATATTATGATTATTTTTTGATATATATATATATATATATATATATATATATATATATATATATATATATATATATATA